TTGCACCAGGGGAGGTTTAGATTAGATATCAGGAAAAATTGCTTTACTGAAGAGGTGATCAAGCACTGGAACAGGCTGCTCAAGGAAGTGGTGGAATCACCATTCCTGGAAGTGTTGAAAAAACATGTAAATGTGGCACTTAAGGATGTGGTTTAGTGGTGGTTTTAGCTTGGCAGTGCTGGGTTAATGCTTGCACTTAATGATCTTCTCCAACTTTAATGTTTCTGTAATGTTTCTATGAATACTTTATATATAAACCCCCAGATACTTGTGTGTGTAAATGTATTTGCATATCTATATATATACACACATATGCATAAATACATATTCAACTGACTGCACTGGGGTTTCTTCTGAGATAGCCATGTTCACTGGAAGTATCATGATAATACCACTTCTTTCTGATTGTTACTGGACAATTGAAATGATGATGATAATGGATAAGTGCAAAGAGGGGAATATATGTATTTCCTGCTTTAGAAGAGTCAGCCTCATGAAGTACAGAAGTAAGGGAGAAAACTTATTTTGAGCTTGTGAATGACAGTTAGGAAACTATTTAAAAATTATTGCTAGATGCTTGCAAAGACATCACTGAATAAAGTAGGTGATTGATTTAGACTGATTTTGAGAAAGAAGGTCCTGATTAAAAATTGCAACTGGAATTCAGATGGAAATTTTTCCTTTAATTCTTTAATAAAATTTTAAAATTATAAAGTTAATTAAGTTTAATAAAAGCATAAATGTCAAAGAGTATGAAGGAAACATTGATTTGAATGAATATAAATCCAAAAGGAATGACAAGCATGTGATAAAATATACAAAACAAAAAAATTAATGGACAGATGTCAAAAGACAATATTATTTTATATGTTTTAATTTATTGTAAATTAAAACTAAAAGATCATTAATGGTAGAATTCTGTTACTTGATAGAAGTTTTGGAATTGTCAGTAAACAAAACAGGTAACAGTAGGTCCAACAGAATTTTTGTTGTATATTGAAAAAATACATATGAGATGAGTTGTATCACAGAGATAACTAATTGTAATTAAGTCATTCTTAAAATTTCAGTATCCCAAAACTGCTCTAGAAGCTACACATTTTAAAATTCTTATATGTTTATTTGACATGTATACAAGATCTTTCAAAGAACTTTCTGGAAGGTAATGTCAGTATTCTCTGTCAGCAATTCCCAGGAGACTGGCTGGGAGGCAGGGACTGTTCTCAGGCAGCACTAGACACCTCTTTGAGAGTTTTCCCCTCTGAGCTGGTCATCCTACATTCCTTTTACAGTCAACTGATAGAGAGAGGCATTTCTAGAATGAAATTCATCTGACTAAAAGCTGACATCTATGTTTGGTTAAAATAATCCCATACTAATGTGGTACCCACATTTTTTTTTTTAGAAAACCAAAGAGATGCCCAAGCTTTCTCCAATCTGCCTGCAAGGCATTGGTCCTGGCTCTCCTTACAATGCAATGGAAGAGATTATGTCCTTGGAGGTCTAAGCAAGGTCATCTTGTAGGACTGAGCTTTTGTCATGAGTATCACTCCAATGGGAAAGCTCAGCTGAGAACTGAATGTTCTACCACTAGAGTATAGGCAAGTACTGATGCATTGAAAATGTTCAGGGAAGAGTTATGAACCTTCCTTGATGCCCTACAAATCAGTGGAAGACTCAGAAATCATGGTTAGCATTATTAATTTTCATAGTGTAAAAATTCACCCATGGCTTTAATAAATATGAAAAAAAATACATACAAATGTAGGGGGGAAATACTAAAACCAAATAATACTAAGTAGGATTTTGTATTAATGTCATTCCCATTATGTAAGCTGTTTCTGCAAGTGTCTGTCTATCCTGACTTCAGATGACTCTAAAGGGACCAAGGGTGTTTCAACTACTAATTCAGACACGTCTATTTATACTGTAAAGGATGGTTTGGGCTGAAAGTGGTATTTAAACAGCAGGGTAAAATCTTGCTCCCTTAAAATCAAGAGTATGATTAAAGAATTGGGAAAAACACCTTACAATAAGAAACTCAGGAAATTTGATCTATTTTGGTTACTAAAAAAGGCCAAAAGGTAACTTAACTACAAACTGACATTACCTACCGAGTTAGTCTCAATAATGGCTTCTCAACCTGTCCAGCAAAGATAGAACAAAAATCAGTGGCTGGAAGCTGAAGATAACTCGGACTAGAAACCAAATGTAATTATTGGCAGTGACAACAAATAATAATTGTAAGGGAGCCTGCTAATCCTTTAACTGAAGAACTCTCAAAATCAAATTTATAAAAAAATACTGCAAATCAGGCAATCAGTAAGTGAGGAAGGAATACAGCTTTCTCTGTGCCAGATTCAGGCCAGGGTCTCACACTGCCCAGTAATCCAAGAATCTATAAATCCACTATCCAGAAATTTTCCTATTCTGATCTGTTTAAAAATAATGATATCTACATGCTTATCATGGTGACATTGAATCACTGTTATATGCATAAGGTTCAAAGCAGGTTAATTACCATTTTTTCCAACTCCAGCCTCTCATATGATTTGCCACTTCTCACAGCACTCTTGTTTTCAAAACTAATTCCCATTATCTAAAAGACTTTCCAAAGCAAACACAGCAGTGTAGCACTTTCTAATATTTATTTTGTATTCTCAAAGAAGAGGCAATAATGGTAGGAGCTTTTTTTGGGGTGAGAAGTTCTTCTTCTACAAAGGTACTTGTGTCCAGTGGAGTTTTACTTAGTCCAAGGACTAGGTTCATGGGCCAAGGGTTTGGCTTTGTAATTTCTGAATATGCAGTAGGTGGTTTATTTCATGGGAATTAGGTAAAGGCCTTATTCTAGCAACAGCAAACTCTGCTTCAGCACCTATCTGCAGCAGGAGATGGCAGATGAAAAGGGGTTTCATATACTGAGACAAAGATGCATAGTTTTTAAGGTCACTATGATTCTCCCTCTAGCCTTCTTTCCTAGATAATTTGGAAAAAAAATAAACTCCAACCAAAACCTTCTCCCATGGAAGCCTGCCTCTTACTTTGATGTGTTTGACTGCATGGGGAGCACCCATCACCCATTCCCTGCGCTTGTGTGCTAGGGAAAGTAAACTTGGCAGTGCTGGGAACAGCTTGGTGGACATGTGCAGCACACTGTGTGCATTCACAGCATTATCACCCACCCAGATTAGCAGCTGAGCACTGCTGGGTGCAGACACCAATGCCTGCAGGTAAATATGGGCTTTGTATGATATGGTTGAATTGCTGACTCCATTGCAGGCTCCTTGACTGACCTTGGGACTGGAGCACTGTCTGCCTCTGTGTTTGAAAAGTTAAGATAATATTACTTGTCTGCCTCACAAGGATTTTGTGAGGTTAGAGACACTGTTTATTCAAGCTAGATGTAAAGTGTTACAGCAATGAGAGCTCTGTAAATACCTATGCTCACAAAACCTCAATTAAAGCACCATCTTGCTAGAGGAAAGCACATTAATGACCATCAGTCCCTGCAATGTTCCAGGACAGCTCACACACAGTTTCCCCCCTGTCTGAGGTAAAGAAACCCCATAGGGGATGGAGCCTCAGAGGGGAAACCTGCAGTGAGTGAGCACAGAGCACTTCATTGCTGTGATTTACAGTCCTGTGCTTGGTAAGGAGCAATAGCTGAGGGGTGGCTTATGCCATTAGTCGCAGTCTTGGTTGACCAATGGAGCTGGGGAATGATGGGGAGCTGCAAAGGCCCCGAGGTGCACTCAGAGACCTGGCTGCCTGTGACAGACACCCTCAGGAGCACATGCACATGCCACCTGCTGCATGCACAGGAGGTTGCTTAACCAGGGCTTTACAAATATTTTCAAAGTGCTTTACAAAGAATTCATTAATAGATGACATATTTTTGCTAAAGGCACAACCAGCTCAACTAGATTTTATTACAGGTGTAAATAATATCAAGGGAATTTAAGTGTGAGTCTTGTTTCTCTACTCTTAATCCCTACTCCTGCTGACATATTAAAGGTCTGCTTAATCATCCAGCCCTTTCCTCCCAAATTCACAAATGTTTCCTCCACACTTACTTATTTTACAGGGATTTATACAAATGCCAGGAGGTACCTAGCAGTGCCCTACAGGTTTCATGGCCCCAGTGAAAAAACAAACAATGCTACAGCCCAGATGTGACCTAGTGGTGCAGTTTAACCCATTGAGAAGACAAAACAGCAGCTTAGAAAGTCACCCCGGAGATCCTTAACCCCACAGTGGAAGGGCTGAGCACTTGGGGCTGGAAAAAGGCCAGAAATGAGGGGAGGATTGCGGCACGATGAGCCCAAACATCTGCACGGGGCTCAGTCTCCCCTATCCCTGCGGAGCCAAACTTGGGGAGCCCCTAGGACCAACACTCACGGTGGGAACTCGGGGGATAGTGACGATGTCTCCCAGGGGCACTGGCCACACGGGACAGGAGGGGGGACCTGCTGTGGGGAGACGAGACACGGACGGGTATCCCCGGGGGTTTCTGAGGGGAATGCAGGTAGTGGGTCACCAAGGACAAGGGACCCTGCGAGGAGCGGCGAGGTGGAAGTGCGCTCCTCGGGCTTGGGGCTGAGGGTCGGGGCTCCCCCGAGAGCGGAGAGGAACTCCCGGGTGCTAGGCTGAGGCGCAGGTAGGACGCGCGCCCTGCCCTGCTCTGCACGGAGGCGCTGAGGGCGCTGCGCGGGGCGGGCTCCCGCGGCGGGGGCGGCGGCGCCGTGAGGGCCGGGCCGTGAGGCGCGTCCCTCCCCTGGGCCGTTTCTCGGCGCGGCTGTTTAATAGCGGAGCCGCCCCCGGCCCGCCCCGTTGGAGCCGGCCCGTGCGGCACGGCGCGGCCGGGGCCGGGGCCGCTGCGGGCCATGGCGGGGGGCCATGGCGGGGGGGCGGCCGGCCGCGCCCGGCTGCTGGCCGTGCTGCTGGCCGGGCTGCTCGGCGGGGCGCGGGGCTTCGGCGACGAGGAGGAGAGGCGCTGCGACGCCATCCGCATCGCCATGTGCCAGAACCTGGGCTACAATGTCACCAAGATGCCCAACCTGGTGGGGCACGAGCTGCAGGCGGACGCGGAGCTGCAGCTCACCACCTTCACCCCGCTCATCCAGTACGGCTGCTCCAGCCAGCTCCAGGTGCGTCGGGGCTCCGGGGGGACCTGGCTGCGTGGGCGAGGTGGGGACGACACACGGCGGGGCCGTGCGGTCCCCGGGCCAGCTGCTGTCCCGCAGCACCCCATCCTCATCCCCATCCGCTCGGCTAATCCAGTACTAACCCACCCCGAAAGTCGCGCCGCCTCGCTGTGTGGCTCCTGGCTGGCTGGGAAGAGAGCGCGGCTCACGTTGGGCGGAGGTGCGGTGTCCCGGCGGTGTCCCGGCGGTGTCCCGGCGGTGTCCCGGCGGTGTCCCGGCGGTGTCCCGGCGGTGTCCCGGCGGTGTCCCGGCTGCCCGCGGCGAGGAGCGCCCGCCGCAGCGCGGTGCCCCCCGCCCGGCCGCTGGCGGAGGCTGCGGCGACTCCCGGAGCTTTCCCGGGCGCTGCCCTCCGTCCCGGCCGTGCCCCAGGTGCCGCGCCCGATTCCGTGCGGAAGGAGCGGAGCTGGCCGCGGGGAGCTGGGGCAGCTCGGGACCCCGCCGGCAGCTCCACCGCGAAAGTTTCTTTCCCAGGCGAATGGCAGGATCCCTGTCCTCCCCACGGGCATGGATTTCCTCAAACAAAACCCAGCTTGTTTCTTGCGGCAGAGTTCCCGTGTCAGCACGCAATTCCTCTCACGGTGTCGCGTCGCCGAATTACTATTATTCATAAGACGAGAAAACTACAGTATTTTATTACTGTCGCAAATGCATACGTGAACTTATTGTAAAATAAAAAACATTTTTCTGGGAGGTTCGTGAACCGAAGTATTTCAATAAATACTTTTTTCCTCCTATTTGTTTCTTAGTTGAAATATCCAGGCAATGCTCAGAACAAATATATGTATTTGTTTAAACCCCTTTAATTTGGTTTTCTGCTTTCTTAAATTGTACCCTCGAGGTTTAAATCTGGCTAAATCCCACTCGCTTCATTGGAACTGATGGGCTAGGTTTACATGGAGCTAATCTAGGGAGTAAAATTTTCAGACTTTGGCTTTGGACCACATTTGAACTGAAAAAAGACAACATTGTTGGGTTTTTTCTCTCTTTTGTTTTTATTGTTCTTGGTTTATTTGTTTTACACTGCTTCCTGGCTTTTTTTAAGGCAAGGGACCAAATATAACTGCTAAAAAGGAAAAAAAAAGAAAACTTTTTATATTGCAACCTGTTTCATTTTCCCTCAACACACTTGTGATTTCTGTTTCTCTCTTCCAGTTCTTCCTGTGCTCAGTTTATGTGCCAATGTGCACAGAGAAGATTAACATCCCCATAGGTCCCTGTGGAGGCATGTGCCTCTCTGTCAAAAGAAGATGTGAACCTGTTTTAAAAGAATTTGGGTTTTTCTGGCCAGACGCCCTAAACTGCAGCAAATTCCCACCCCAGAATGATCACAACCACATGTGCATGGAGGGCCCAGGAGACGAAGAGGTTCCCCTTCACAGCAAGACCTCCTTGCAGCCTGGAGAAGAGTGCCACGGCATGGGATCTAACTCAGATCAGTACATTTGGGTGAAGAGAAGCTTGAGCTGCGTCCTGAAGTGCGGCTACGATGCTGGTCTGTACAGCAGGTCAGCTAAGGAATTCACAGATATCTGGATGGCCATATGGGCCAGTCTTTGCTTCATCTCGACTGCCTTCACAGTCCTAACCTTCCTGATTGATTCATCCAGATTTTCCTACCCGGAGCGGCCAATCATATTTTTGAGCATGTGCTACAATATTTATAGCATTGCTTATATTGTGAGGCTAACTGTGGGCCGGGAAAGGATATCCTGTGATTTTGAAGAGGCAGCAGAACCTGTTCTTATCCAAGAAGGTCTTAAGAACACAGGATGTGCGATAATTTTCTTGCTGATGTACTTTTTTGGGATGGCTAGCTCCATCTGGTGGGTTATTCTGACACTGACGTGGTTTCTGGCTGCAGGACTCAAGTGGGGCCACGAAGCAATCGAAATGCACAGCTCCTACTTCCACATTGCAGCCTGGGCCATCCCGGCGGTGAAGACCATTGTCATTTTGATTATGAGACTTGTAGATGCAGACGAGCTCACCGGCCTCTGCTATGTTGGGAACCAGAACCTGGATGCGCTGACAGGCTTTGTTGTGGCTCCGCTTTTTACCTACTTGGTCATCGGGACTTTATTCATTGCAGCAGGACTCGTGGCCTTATTTAAAATCAGGTCTAATCTCCAGAAAGATGGAACTAAAACTGACAAACTGGAAAGACTGATGGTCAAAATTGGGGTCTTTTCAGTGTTGTACACCGTCCCAGCAACGTGTGTCATCGCCTGTTATTTCTATGAAATCTCCAACTGGGCCATTTTCCGCTATTCAGCAGATGATTCCAATATGGCAGTGGAGATGCTCAAAATTTTCATGTCCCTTCTGGTGGGTATTACATCAGGTATGTGGATCTGGTCAGCCAAAACTCTGCACACATGGCAGAAGTGCTCCAACAGACTGGTGAACTCAGGGAAAGTGAAACGGGAGAAGAGAGCGGACGGTTGGGTGAAACCTGGGAAAGGGAACGAGACCGTGGTATGAGAAAAGGACAGCATCCCACTGCTCTGGCTGCTTTCCTGTGAAGGACTGATCATGTGCAAGCATTGCTGTGTAAATGTTTGGAATAGAGTAGGGGGATGGTTGCACAACCTGTCTCTTGGGATGGGAAGGAAAAAAAAAAGCCTTAAAGAATAAACAGCAAAAGGATCATGCTGCAGATACAATAGCCATAAACCATGCTGCCCAAAATAGGAGAGCCCAGGGAGGCTTTAAAAGCTGTGAAATAGCCAAACCTGTTATCTTCCTTTTTAAGTCTTGAACTCTTTAGAAATGGAGGTGCTGTAGCCCATAGCTGTGAGATGATGTTTTCCTTTCATCATCTTACAGCTGATGGAGGACAGGCAGTCCAGGGCCAAATTCTGGGTTTAGTTAGGTTCCAGTTACCAAGTTACCAGAAGATGGAGCAGGACCTCAGTCAGATGTCTTCTTTGTGAGTTCAGCATTGAGAAGGAAGTGCTTGATGAGGATTCTGTCTTTATGCCCTGGGGAATTCTGGTGTTCCAATACACTGTACAATTCATTCAGGAATCATGTCCTGAAACATATAGTAAGTAAATGGACTTTCCAGGTCTTACCCATGATGAGTAGGATTTAGTGAGGTATTAGTGAGGATGACTTTTTAGTCATCTAATGGCCTAATAATAATTTTGACTCATTCTTTTTGCCATTTATAACCTGGTCTGAATGGTGAGTTGATTCTGCCTTGTGGGAATTTGAACCTCCCTGTGTTTTTTCCCACCTCAGTTATTCTGTGGTTCTATCAATACTTATAAAATCTAAAAGCTTTATTTAAGGCTGTCCTCAGAAGTAGAGGAATCAGCTCAAAGTGGGATACTGTGTATGGTCTTCTGCATCTATTGTCATTATCCATCTCCTCCATTCCTGCCCTTTCAGGTGCTCCTGCTATTTCTAGCAGACCACTTTATTCTGCTGCATTTATTAGCTTTAAAAAAAGTCTTAACTCTGTAGTGATCCTTCCTTCAGGAAAGAGAAAAATTAGTTGAAGGTACCTTCAGACAATGCTATGTTTCTCGAAGCAAACTTGCTTGACTCTGGAGACTCATTGTATGAAGCAATTAAGTCTTAATGTATTTCATTCAGTGTGATGGTATCTCCTCTGTAGACGCCAGTCTGGGGAGAAGCAAAATGTTAAGTTCCTTGGCAACCTCGTATTCACACAGATCAGTTATATAATTATGTGTGCCAGTTGCAATTAAAAGAACATTCTCAGCCCATGACATTGCAGTACAGCTGACTGCCTCACAACGATGCTTCAATTGCTTACTGACAGCTATGGAGACAGTTTTTAATGTATATTTACACACAGAATGTGAGCAGGCATTCAGTCCTCAGGAGCAGCAAAGACCTTTCCAGTTTTTGTAAAGAGACTCAAGAAATCCAACTTCTTGATGAATAATGTTTGAAAGAAACCATTGCATTTCTTATTATTTTATATGAGGAGGCATCGGCCTGTGGGGAGCTGAATGTAGTGTCAGGGGCTTGTGAGAAAGGTGATGCAAATACAAATATCCTAGAAGCACTTCAGAGAACACTGTTATGATGCTCTATCCCTTTGAAACACATTTGATTTTATCTATGTGCCCCAAGCTTTTGCTTCCTTTGTTTGTGTGGAACCTGATCAGCTGCAAAGCATCCCCCTGGTGCCCCAGCTCCCATGATCTTCCAGGGCAGCTGAGAACAGATGCTGCTTTATTAAAGTACTTGCTTTCCACACAGGTGCCCATGTGCTTCCCAAACCACAGTTCACTCCAGCTCTGGAAGTGAGCGCTAATCCATCCCAGAAGCATGTATTGTTTCAATGTCAGTGTCGAAACATGTGCTAGAGAACTTTTTCTTTTACAAACAAAATCCAGACCCCAAACAAACCCTAATGGCAGTCTTTGCGGTTGGGCTCCCTCTCCAGCAGAACAAGTGACAACTTGACACATTCTGTTCAAGACACACAAGCACTGTCTTGGCCAACACCACATTCCAGCTGGGCCTTTTCACCCTCTCCATAAAGTCTCTCACTGTTAGTGTTGTGTTTGGATCTGGTTATTCCTTTGTGGACGAGGAGTTTTGCTAGTGTGAGATCTTCAGATGGCGGAGCCTTTCCATTATGCAGTCTTTCTGCTGGCACAGTGAGGAATGTAAAGTCAGCAGCTGGATGCTGGCTTCCAAGGAGCAAGGATGCAGCATGACCCTTTTTTGTAACCTAGTATTTGGCCGTGCCAAGGTGTCATGTTCACTCAAGGTGTGCTTCAGTCTGAAAGGCTTTGGATACTCTCCTGGACAATAAGACCCATGTTTGAGTAGTCTGATTCAATAAATGGTATTTTTAACCTTGCTATGTACACGGAAGTGAATGTTAAATAGTGCCTTTTTATGAAATCCTTGCATCTCCGCCTGTAACCCTGTGAACTATTGACAGAGGGATGCCCCTGGTAATGTGAGACACAGTGAGCTGGATGAGGATGGCACTGTGTAGCCTTAGGAAGGACCTGGAGGGATATTCCATTAAAGCATGTGAGGGATTCAAATGCAGTGGGAAAGAGGTGGGCTGGGGGGGAGGCACCAGCTGCTGTTCCTGAGGACACATCTTTCCCCAGCAGTTGGGGGAATGCTGTACTGCCCCAAAGTGAAATTAGTGGTTGCATCAATCAAACCATTCCATCGATGTATTCACCCCCATGCATTTACCTGGCTCCATGTCAGGGCTGTGCAAGTGGGAAGACGCAGCAGACAGCCTAAAAACCGGCTCTTGCCAAGAAGAGCGGGTATCAGCAGCTCCGAAGTTCTCTCATTTCAGCATTGTTAGGAGCTTAAAGCCATAAGGGGTGTGACTAATCCTGTCTCGGAAGTGCAGTTGCTGTGGTTATACAAGCACAGACGTTACAGGCGTTTCCTTCCACTGCACAGCCCCTGCTCCCATCTCCCCCCTCAGCCTGTGCTCTTGGCACTGCAGGGTTCACAAGCATCTGCCAGAGAGGTACAAGCTTAGCTCTTACATTAAACAGACAAGTTAGCTTCTTTCTCTGAATTTTAAGGAAATAGACACTGATTATTTTGGGGTGTACAGAAAATATATCTACTTCAATGTATGTACTGTAAATTTCTAATTTATCACTGTAAAAAAACCAAAACAACTTTGCTATTTAATTTTTATATCAAAATAAAATTTTAACCTCTGTGGATAACGAAAGAATTCCTGGCAGCCTTCACATTTTTGGTGAGTTTGTTTCTTAAATAGACTTCAGCATTGTTGGAAGTGCTTTTTTGCCCTGAAGGAAGAAGGACTGAAATGCTCATGCTGTGGTGAGAGGATGCTTTGAATGGGTTAATCCAGCATGGTTTGGATCTAATAACTGAGAACAAGACATGGTTGGGCAATGGTGAAAGTATGTTCACGTTTCTGCTTATGGGGTGGACAGAAACCCTTTCAAAGACAGCAGGCAGGTCCTGGGTGCTGGCTGGGGCTGCAGCTGGAGCTTTGGTGTTGTGGGAGCATGTCCTCAAAGCCCAACTGGAAGGCAAGGCAGAAACACGGCCTGCTGCTGCTCTAGCACTGCTGTGATATGGCTCCAGACAAGAGCAGCACCTCCTGTAAGGCTCCTTTTCTTCCAGGTGTTATGGAATACATACATCCAAAGCAGGAGAGCTCAGATCCAGAGTGTGTGGTGGAGGAGGGCAGCATCACCACTGGCCTGTTCAGTGTATGGGAACTATTAGTGCCTTTTGGAAGGGGAAAATCCTAATCTTAGCAACCTGCTTGAAATGAGTTCATTCCTATGGGTGATCTCAGGGATTTCAACCCTTCAGAGGAGAGATTCAATTGAATGTCTACATGTTTTTCTAAAAACTTAGGCTTATTAATGCTCTACTTTCCTTTCCTGTTTGTCATTTCTGTCCGTAGTCATGATGTATGGGGATAGCAAGGAGTTGCCTTTTGTGTGCATCCCTCACCAGTTTCTTTTGACACTGACAGAACAGTATGCAATATTAATTACTTTATCCCACTTAATCATCTCCATCATGAAACAATCTGTGAGATTATTTAATTAGCAGAATGTTATTCTAATAAGAACCTAAATCAGACTAGAGTGGATAATAGTGAGGGTGTGCTATAAAAAAGAGTAGCAACTATCACCTGTGTATCTGTAGCTAATCAAGTTTTGAAGAGCAGCATCTAAAACTGGTAATTATGAGTGTGTTGCAGACACCTTTTCATTAAAATCCTTTCATTAGGATTTTTCCTGCTGAGAAGTTTCAGCAACAAGATGTAAACAATGGTTATCTGCTGCTGTGGAATGCAACAAGTCTATCTGTGATTGGCCCATCTTAGATGTTTATAATTAATGGCCAATCAAGGCCGAGCTATCTCGGACAGCGTCCGAGAGAGCTGCCTTTTGTTATCATTCTTTTCTATTTTATTTTTAGCTAGCCTGCTGAGGAAACTTTTTTTCTATTCTATTAGTATAGTTATAATGTAATATATATATATCATAAAATAATAAATCAAGCCTTCTGAACATAAAGTGAACATTCTCGTCTCTTGCCTCATCCAAGAACCCCTGTGAACACAGTCACATGAGTGATTTGCTCATGCCTTTGGCAGCTCATCATTGTAATGTTCTCAGGCTGGTGATTAATGCGATCTCTCAAACTTATCCTAATGAGTCTTTAATAAAGCTACTGTTAACTGTACCAAACATCAAAGAGCTTCTGGGGGAAGGAGCAGGATCTCCCTCTTGTTCATACCACCTGAACACCTCAGGTGTGGCACTCAAGCTGACATTGGTTGCTCGAGTTCTCTCTCACGGGTGCTTGCCTTCACACAGATCCCTCAGAGCATCACCTCTGAAGTGACAGTGGATTGCTGCAATGGCCCTGAATAGTGAGCAAGCTCCCCAAGCCATGGAGATGACAAATCCTCTCAGGTTTGCCTCATGAGCATTTGCCTCTTGAGCATAGCCTCATAAATGTTACTTTTTGTGAGCATTGTATGCAATGCTTACAAAAAATAACATTTATGAGGACTTTTTGTGGTTGTTTGGTATTTAGGCTTGGGGTTTTTTACTTGGTTGCTTTTGTCTATTTTTTTTTAAGATGTTTTTTAAGAAAGCAGATGTTAGGGAGTTTGTACAGAAGGAGGCCACAGTTGTGCCGCCAGGAATCAGAAGCAGCCTAAGCTCCAGTAATGTGAAAACACGGTATCACCAAGTCCCTGGCTTCAGTGGTGGTTTCCCCCACACCTCCTCCATCCTCAGCCACTCATTCCCACAATGGTGCCACGTTTCAGTTTCTCCTTCACTTTGCCAGTGCAACTACTTGTGGTATGATGCAAA